AGATGACTCTTGACAATTCAGAGGGTGAAACAGTTATTCGCGAATATCTTGGTACTCGTTCGTTCCACGATGAAAATGCTTACCATCAATTTTGTAGCTCAGGAAATTCTCTACAGAAATGGTCTTATGAGTTTTTTTGTAGCTATAAGCATTTTCACGTATGGAGTTTCCTTTCATAAAGATCGGCTGCTTGAATGAAAAATGCTTGCTTCGAGTTCAGAAAATGAATAAAAAAAGACATGTAGAATATTAACCAGAATTAAGTAGTTATACCCATAAAATACTTCCACTGTATAACGTTTGTTAATTGAAGTATTTATGCTTTTTAACGCAGTAGAGTTGAACGCGCTTTTGAAATTCGCGGTATTCGTGGGGTTCCTCAGTGCGCAGCTCATTTAAACGAAGGAATGCGTTTCTCAAAAAGAATTTTAATCGCGAATACGAATTATATAAAAATTCATACGGATAGAATTTCCTCCGGCGATTGCTTTCCTTGGTGCACAATTCCCCGCTTTTCGAATGCTGTTGCGTAAATAATGTCTTTGATTCCAAGGTATTTATTAACAAGATCTAATACGTGCCTGTAACGCATACCAGCATTATTTGAAAGAAGATAAGGCCTGGCCGGTGTAGAATTCCCTCTCGATGTACGTATGTCTTGTAACATAATAACACATTGCAGTGTAATTGATGTCAAAGATAATAAATCGTGTTCGTCGGGCAGCAATAATCTCGTTATCGACGAAAGGGATTTCATCGCAGTGAAACGGAGTCGAAACGTCGAGAAAGTGGTTTTAACTTTCCAGCTCCAGAATTTGCATCGTTGTTCTTCAGTGCCACGACAAGGAAAATCGTTGACTGTAGGAGGGGAAGAGTAAACAGCAATTTATGCTGCTACTTGGGTGTTCGTTTGTTAGTCCTCGACCTAACAACCACACGTTCGTCGTCTTGACTCGGCGAAATTCAGTTGTTCTTATACGTGACCGGATTCTGTAAACAGTACCAAGAAACGTGAATGAGAATTGCATAGAAACATTACCCTATATACCTCATGTTGATTTATGCTTCGATAAAAACTTATTAAGATTCGAGGAGCTTTGTCTTTTTAGATAAAGAATGGAGGGAGGAAGCTTTTTTGTTATTAATTTTAATACGGTAGACTTTTGTTGTATTATCATAGACGAGATCAATTTGGTCTTCTTACTATTGCCTGATGTGTAGAAAAACAATGTATGAAGATATTTTGAAGTACAATGCATGGAACGACGTGTGAAAGTACGAGCGAAGCGCAAAATGTGAAGATTCTACCATGAAGCACGTGTGAAGATTCTACACGTGGAAAGAACATGACTGTGGATAAGAATGTGATGCGTGAAAAAATCACATGTGGTAGTATGACGCGTGAAAATACCATGTATGAAGGTATAACCTAGGAAGTTACCACGCATGGAAATAAAACACATGAACATATCAGATATGAAAGTAAAGTATGTGAGAATACCACGCGTGGAAGTATGATGCATGCAAATATCAAGTGTGGAAATACAGCACGTGGAGGTATGACACATGAAAATATCAAGCGTCGAAATACAGCTTGTGGAGTTATGATAAATGAAAATACAGCGCGTGGAAGTACGACACGTGAGAATATCAAACGTGGAAATACAGCGCGTGGAAGTATGACACATGAAAATATCAAGCGTCGAAATACAGCTTGTGGAGTTATGATAAATGAAAATACAGCGCGTGGAAGTACGACACATGAGAATATCAAACGTGGAAATACAGCGCGTGGAAGTACGACACATGAAAATATCAAGCGTCGAAATACAGCTTGTGGAGTTATGATAAATGAAAATACAGCGCGTGGAAGTACGACACATGAGAATATCAAACGTGGAAATACAACGCGTGGAAGTACAATATATGAAAGTATCAATACAGCGTGTGAAAGTACAATACATGAAAATATCAAGCGTGGAAATGCAGAGCGTGGAATTATAATACGTGAGAATATCAAGCGTGGAAGTGCAACGCGTGGAATTATGATACGTGAGAATATCAAGCGTGGAAGTATATCGCGTGGAATTATGATGCGTGAGAATATCAAGCGTGGAAATACAGCGCGTGGAATTATGATAAGTGAGAAAGCAAGCGTGGAAGTACAACGCGTGGAATTATGATACGTGAGAATATCAAGCGTGGAAGTACAACGCGTGGAATTATGATGCGTGAGAATATCAAGCGTGGAAGTACAACGCGTGGAATTATGATACGTGAGAATATCAATCGTGGAAATACAACGCGTGGAATTATGATACGTGAGAATATCAAGTGTGGAAGCACAACGCGTGGAATTACGATACATGAAAATATCAAGCGTGGAAGTACAACGCGTGGAATTACGATGCATGAAAATATCTAGCGTGGAAGTACAACGCGTGGAATTCTGAAAGCGTTAACCTCTGAAAACCTTCATGTTTTACAATTGTAAAGACATACCGCTATCATATCCCCGCACTGGTTGCAATATAGCGAGAGTCTACTGTACATAACGAACCCGAGTACTTTCTCCGAATAAATTGAAAGAGTAACAATAAATTTCCGTAGTGGATTTTAATTAGCTTCATTACCGTAGCATCCATTCAGAGAAGTCCCTGATCGCACTGAAACAGCGTATTGTTTTATTCCGATTAACAAAATCACATACACCCATGCGTTTTATCTTCATCAGTTAAACAAGATAATTAAGTATGCCGTTTTCAACGGATCAACCTCGGCGTATAACATCTGTTGCGGTCATTAACTGTGTTTCTTCTCTAAACGACATAATTACTTTATCTTACAAACAGTTACCGCGAGTTATTTCAAGAGAAACAACCTGAAAGGTATCTCGTGCAACTAAATATACTTGATTGAAACCAGCTTGTGTTCCATTAATAGGTTTTCCATTACACGCATGTAATCTGTTTCTAATCAAACGCTCCGTTTCATCTCGCGGAGTCCTTTCATTTTATTCATCAAAGAACCCCTTTTTCTTTTCGATCGGATTTCGTTTACTGTCGTTATTATTAGTGGTCTGTATCGTAACCTTCTGCATCTTTCGACGACATTTCAAAGCTTTAATACGAGTAATTGAAGTTGAATCATTTTAAAATTCAACACTGCACAATTGTAAGTAATTAATTAGCAGAATTATCGTAACGAATCCCGATATTTTTATCAAACTCCAAGGCTGCCACAATCGCTAGAATTAATTAGCTAAACAGTCACGACGGTCGTGCTTTTTATTAAATTTCAACATTGCAGCACGCTCTACAGAACTAATTAATTAGGGAGCTGCCACGTAGTACTACTTTTTATCAAATTTCAACACTTTGTACTTGGTTGAACTAATTAATTAAGTCGAACTTTTCAATGCACTTGGTAAATCTAATTAATTAGATAAGTAGTCACGATCCTCGTACTTTCCATTAAATTTTAACGCTTTAGTGCAAAATGGAACTGGTTAATTAGAGAAGTCGAAGCGTTTGCCTCGCCCTTTCTATCGTTGCAATCTACACGACCATGTTTCGAATCTTAACATTTCTTCATTAAATCCGAGGACTTTCAACGTTGAACACCGTGCACGTACAGTCATGAACAAATCTACATTCTCTTTCGAACATGGTGACCAAGGAAGGACACTCGTTTTGGGGATTTTTTAGGATTTTTACATTTTGGGTGAGTGATGCATACAGATATTTGGAGTGTACAGACATTTGGAGTGTACAGATATTTTGAGTATGTAGATATTTGGAGTATACAGATATTTGGAGCATGAGGGGTTTAGAGACTTCTGGATTTGGGAATGTAGGTATCTGAGGGTTTAGAAATTGGAGGACCTCGAATTTTGAGAAGTAGTGGATTTCAAGACCTAGAATTTGGAGACATAGTGGATTTGGGGACGTGGAGTTTGAGAATATAGGGATTTGGAGGCTTAGGAACATGGGAGCATAGGTATTTGGGGAGCTTGGGATTTGGGGATGTATGGATGTGGAAATGTGGGAATTTGAGGAGCCTATGAGCCACTCTAGGGATCTGGTGATCTAGCAATTTGGGGATATAAGTATTTGGGAAGCTTGAGATGTGGGGTGCTTGGGATTTGGGGAGTTTGGGATTTGGGAGGCTTGGGATTTGAGGGTGCTTGGGATTTGGGAAGCTTGGGATTTGGGAAGGTTGGGATTTGGGGATGCTTGGGATTTGGGAAGCTTGGAATTTGGGGAACTTGGGATTTGGGAAGCTTGGGATTTGGGAAGGTTGGGATTTGGGGATGCTTGGGATTTGGGAAGCTTGGAATTTGGGGAACTTGGGATTTGGGAAGCTTGGGATTTGAGGGTGCTTGGGATTTGGGAAGGTTGGGATTTGGGGGTGCTTGGGATTTGGGGAACTTGGGATTTGG